GTATAATAATATGTATTGTTTATTATTAAATATCTACTCATTTATAAGAATTATTAAAATTAGTAAAAAAAAGTATTCAAGTCTCTGTCTAGTTTATTACCTTACCTTATTAAAATAATAAGTTTAATCAATTATGTAGTTAGCAAACAATGACGTTTAATTTATACTTAGTAGGGTTCACGGCATTAACTTTTCACATTGCATGTTTAATTCGGAGTTATAATTTGAGAATATAATTTACCCGTTTATTTATTTTTGTAGTTTAGTAGTACTTCAGCAAATTTAGAAAACTGTATGTTATTTAAAAATACGTGACAAATCACGAGGCCAGGCAATCTAGAGATCTGACTGCTGGTTTGCGCGGGAAATACTGCATACTTTTTAGATAAAAGGAGTCTATGATAAGCGCACGTAGGAGATGATAGACAGAGAGCTAATATTTAGAGCTAGAATAAAGAAATAGGACAAGTTTACGTGCGCACACCACAGCCTCCCTTTCTTCTCTAAACAGTTTGGGATCATACCCATACCATAGTATCATAAATAATAATTGACAAAGAGTTCGCAAAGGAATCCAACGGAAATATTTATACAATTGTTTACAACTACCAGTACAAATAATTCTTTCATTTTCAACTGAAAAGCGTATAACTATATTAAGTACTAGATATTATGGAGTTAGGGGTAATCAAATAGATTTGGGTTGCAGTCAACATAATTGTCACTGATACATAAGACATGGAAACGAATGATTTATTTCCAAATCCAAATATACTGCATTTACAGTTTTAAACAGTATCACTGCTAATTTTCTCTGGTTGTCCGACAATAGCTACTTGTAGTCAATATCCACGTAATGTAATAAAATACTGGAATCTAATTGTTTGAGACAACAACCTATTTTTACCCGAGTGTTATTTATCAGTTTGAATATTTTATATAAAAAAATTACATATTAAGCTGCAATTTTAGTAGGACTGCAGCGAGTCAATGCAAAGAAAATATCATTTTATTATCCTTTGTAAAAATAATTCCTTTCTGTAAAACACATTGAAATTTGGTACTCCGTATTTCGTTCACAATTCACCATTTAACAATGGAAATTAACAACGCAATATTTGGATTCTACAGTTTTTAGGAAAAATGAATGACTGCAATGAGTTTTATCAAATGTAGATTTTATATAAAAATAAAGAAAAATAAGTCTCTTTATTTTAAAAATATTTAGAAAAAATCGAATCAAAACATCAATAACTTAACATTCATTGTTCGTTATACTTAGTTAACTGCTTCACCACGAGATTTCTAATATCGTTTCAATTTTTCATTTATTTCACATTATGAGTCCTTGCCGTATTACTTGTTCTGCGCGTGAAGTTGATTAAGAAATCTTAATCTTAGTTATCTCTGAAAAATGTATCTATTATTATATGTAATTATTGATGTGGAAATATCATTTCCACAAATACGAATACAGGTATGCAGCATTATGAATTTTGTTGACTAAAATTTTAGAGAAAATAAGTTCAATCATTTCCGAGAAATCATTAAATAAAAATGTTACTGTTAAGTAAAAAATTAAATTATTTGTTTAACGAGCAACAAATCTATTTGAAATTTAAATTTGTAAAATTTCGAATCTAATAATTTGAAACTAAATCTTTCTTAAAAAAAAATCGAAAATATTTGTAACATCTGTAACAACAGAAAAAGAGTTGCACAAATTACAGTTGTTTTTTTTTAATTTCAGATTCATCAAAATTGTTAAATCTCTTTTTTATTTATTTCACATTATTCTTATTGTTCTGCGCGTGAAGTTGAATACGATTTCTTTCCCAACCCCAAACCTAACGCTGAAAAGCAAAACAGCAAGGAAGTACGTAAAAACGGATAACGGTACTGTATCGATTTCTGCTTGGACATGCGGCAAATCAGCACTGAATCTAAACTATGTTTCGCTTCGCCCAAGTGCGACATGCGGCAAATCTGCACCAAACAGTAGAGGCGAAAATCCCTCGGACGCGATCTGGATATTATTATTATTATTATTATTATTATTATTATTATGTCAGTGATGGTCAACAGGCAATAGCCCAATTACTGACCACCTTAGCAAAATATATGACCAACAGCTGAACCCACGAAGGCAAAGTTAAACAGACTGAATGTAGCTACATATACAAAGAAAAAACCTATTTATTTAAATATATCAAATGCATTCTGTTCCGAATTGTATAAAGTACACATCTCGTATATAGGTGAGTGTTTTACAACGTTTAAGCGAGGAGTAGGCAAATAGAAGCAATCATGAGAACGAGATGACAATCTGGGGACAAGCAAATATAATCGACTCAAAAGATCCGGACAATCAATATGAAAATGAACCAACTTTTTTAAAAAATTCAACGATGCAATAGTCCGTCTGCAATGTAAATCTCTAAACCCAAATTTATTTAAAAGAGTAATATGGGACGAACCCCTTGGTGGATAAACACCATCCGCCCTAAAAGCTAAGTACTTCAAAAAACGTCGTTGAATCTTCTCCAATGTGTCTATATGAATCCGAGAAAATGGAGACCAAACAACACTTGCATATTCAAGCTTGGATCGCACATAAGCAAAATATAAAATTTTCAAACAATCAAAGTCACTAAAACTACTGCCACATCTTAGTATAAAACCGAGTGATTTGAGAGCATTGGCACATATATTATTTATGTGATTTACAAAAGAGAGTTTGGAATCAAAAGTGACTCCCAAATCACAGAAAGAATCAACTCTAGTCAAAATGGTGTTATTGAGATCATAGGGATACAAGGTTTGGATATTTTTGTTAGTAAATGACATAATAAAGCATTTGTCAAAATTTACCGGGAGAAAGTTACAATTGCTCCAACATAGAAATTTCTGCAGATCATCTTGTAACATCCGGCAGTCATTAATACTCGAAACAGTTCTAAAAATTTTTAAATCATCCGCATACATAAGAATGTTTGAACTAATACTCTTTGCGATGCCATTTATGTAAATCACGAACAAAAGAGGTCCAAGAACCGAACCCTGAGGCACTCCAGACAAGACAGAAATACTATCTGACACATGACCATTATATTTAACGCACTGAGTCCTATTGGATAAATACGATTTAAACAATGAAAGTAATGAAGCAGAAAACCCAAAATTACTTAATTTAACCAGCAAAATATCATGATTAAGTTTGTCGAAGGCCTTGGAAAAATCAGTATAGGCCACGTCAACCTGAAGCATAGCATCAAAGCTTTCTGAAACAAACTGTGTGAATACACAGAGGTTAGATATGGTGGAACGGTTACTTACAAATCCATGTTGACAATCAGATATTTTACTACGAACATTAAATAACAAAAATTTATGTAAAACAAATTCAAAAACTTTGGCAAAGTTACAATATGCGGCAAACCAGTTCTAAGGTGACGATTTACTTCCGATGCCCATTTTCTGTATCCTTCAATAAGTTTTCGTGCGATGTAAGTTAAATCCTTGTGGTCTTATGCTATTATACGATTTGATCGTCTGCAAAACATAATGTATACAGGGTTGTATTGTCATTCAGAGGAATTCCCATGCCACTGCACTTTCTTTTTCATACTTTTAGTGCCTGATAGATTTTAAAAGGTGTGGGCGAGAGGCAGCATCCCTGTTTTAGTCCTTTGGTAGCTGTGAATCCCTCTGAAACTTTGTTTCCCACCCTAACTTGTGTTATGTTATTAGTATACATATTTTGCATTGCTTTTATTAGTCCATGTTTAATGTTTGTCTGTTCCAATATTGACCATAGTTTGTGATGGGGAATACTATCGTAGGTTTTTTGTAGATCTACGTAAAGTAAATGGATTGTTTGATCAACCGCTGCTTTTTCTCTATAATTTGGGTGACGCAGTATAAATGGTCTACTGTCGATCTGCCTGCTTTAAATCCCGCTTGTTCTTCTGCCTCCATATCCATATACTCAGGCTCTATTTTGGCTTTCAAAATTTTCCCGTAGATTCTATTTCTTGTACTTGTTACCGCTATGCCCCTATAATTTTCGCACTGATCTCTGCTACCTTTTATGTGTATTGTTGATATTATTCATTTTTTCCACTCACTTGGTACACTATCCCCATTTAGACAGTTCTAAAATAGCTTCCTAAATTGTTCGTATAGCTTGTTTGTTCCTGCTTTTATTAATTCAGCCGGTATATTACCAGGCCCGGGAGATTTTCCATTTTTTAAAGATTTGCAGATAGTTTCTACTTCTTTTAGGGATATCCTCAAAGGGGAGGAGACTATATTTATTTCTGTTTCCTGGTCTTCATTCATAAATTCTGTCCGATGTTCCGTTAGAAGATAGAATCAATGTTTAAAAAAAAGAAGTCTTGAATAATGCTAAATAATATCAGGACGGACACCTCTTGGTCCTGGGGGCGGCGACCCTGAGAAACGACCTTACGGTTTTTCGCTCGTCGGCGGCGATTTGAAAACCGAGTAGAATACCCAAAACGGTACTTACAGCAGTACGACGCAACGGTATGCGCAAAAGTCTATTTCGTACTGTACGGAAATAAGTTTTGCTATAATAAGTATAATTCCAAAAGTACGAAATTAAAATATAAAGGTTTGTTGCGCTTAGAGGATAAATTGGATAATAATTTAATTGTTCAAAATATTCCACTCAATGAGTCAACAATAATACTAACATCACGCCTCACACATCAGTATATTTAAAAAAATGTATCATATGTATCTGGATTAAACTCGTTCAAGATCTTGAGTCTTGATTTGTTTTATTTATTTGTTTATCTAGACCAAAATTCAACAATATAAATTGTAATATTATCTTGACTGTTGTATTTCTCCATCACGTACTACAATTCGTACTATTGTTTATCTGCTTTTAATTGTCAACAAGTTTTTAAAATTACGAGATTCCGTTCACGTAACCAGCTAATTTTAGAATTAGTAGTAGCGCCAGTTCTTACTGATACTGCAATATCAGATGTCGCCGGTTGATATATGCTTAAACAGGTTAACCTTGTTTAAAAATCAAAATGAACAAGCTACTTTTACTGCTCATTCTAACATTTGGCCAAATTCATCTTTCGGTGAGTATGATCAACAAAAAAACTAACTTACAAAAAAAACTAATTTCAGAAATTGGAAGATCCTCTAGTCGAGTTACCTAACGGAGAAATTGTGGGACGCGAAGATGTAACAGCTGAAAGCAAAACATATTATGCTTTTGAAAAAATTCCATACGCGGCTCCTCCTGTTGGGGACTTGCGCTTCCAAGTATGAATGTTGATTGAAAAATATAATAGTAAAAGCAAATGTTTAGCCTCCTCAACCTGTCGAAAACTGGGATGGAATACTTAATACCACCAACTTGGACATATCTTGTTATCAACTTAATAACCGTATGAAAATGCCTCCTCAACTAGGTCAGTCGGAAGACTGCCTCTTTCTCAACGTTTTCACCCCAAAGGTACTTTTTGACAGACAAACTTATCGCAAACAATGAATTGTTGCTTACCCTAGCTTCCTTCTCCTGAAGACGAAGAACTATTACCTGTAATGCTTTTTATTCACGGGGGTGGTTTTGTTGGTGGATCAGCCGGCAACAACCCACCTGATCTTTTCATCAACAAAGATGTCATATTAGTTACGATTAACTACAGGCTGGGTGTATTTGGTAAGTACTGCTTTGGTACTTACGCGCTATATATGATAATCATACACAGGTTTCATCTCGACTCAAGATGACATCATTCCTGGAAATAACGGTCTAAAAGATCAACTGCAAGCCTTAAAATGGACCAACCAAAATATTCATCTATTTGGTGGTGATCCCGAAAGAGTTACCATTTTTGGACAAAGTGCTGGTGCAGGTTCTGTGGCTCATCTTACATTAAACCAAAACGCTTTAGGTTGATTATTCCAAAACCACCAACCCAATTAACTACTCTTTCATCATTTATAGGTTTATTCCAAGGAGCTATAATGGAAAGTGGTACCTCTTTGTGCACCGGCATGTTCCAACGAAATTCAAGGTCAATAGCTTTTGGAACCGGAGCCATTATAGATTCCACTTTTGAAACAAGCGAGGACTCACAAGCACTGTTAGAATTGTTGCGAAGTGTGAGTGCTGATGACTTAAACGCAGCAGCAACTGAGCACACTACTGCTGTAAGTACCTTCAACAAACGAATTTTTAATTGTTTTTAAATATCTCTGAACTAGATTACCAACAGTTGGGACAACTTCTTAGAAGTAGGAAGCGTCTTTGCACCTGTGATTGAGGCAAAAAATCCAGATGCGTTTATAACTAAGAAAATGTATGGATTGATTAAAGCGGGCAATGTGGTACCTGTGCCCATTATTTTGGGATATAACTCAGAAGAAAAACTTGGAATGGCAGGAAGTTAGTGTAAATTTGAGTTTTGTGTTTCGTGCTGACGTTTATTGTAGGTCAAGATGAAGTAGCCACAATTGCAGCAATACTAGACGAAAATTTGGACTACCTAGTACCGGCTGATATGCAAATTACCGATTTAGATAGTCGTACTGAAATGGGAAGCAAAATAAGAGAAATATACACCGGTGGAGAACCTTTTGGTGATCATTTGGGGGACACCGTCCGAGTATACTATTTCAATCGGTACTGACACACTAATCATAAATTCCTAGTTTTCTAGCGACAATTTCTTATCGAGGTCGATGGGTAAACACGCTGAGCTTTTCTCCCAGTCCGCTGCAACATACTTCTACGAATTTTCATACCAAGGTAGTTTAGGTCCTGGACCAAGAGACGGTGATGGTACCACTGGAGTATCTCATGGGGGAGAAATGCAGTACTTGTTCTGCAGTGGTACCAGCTGTACTGATGCAGATGAAGCAGATTTGTTGGAAAGAGAAAGAATGATCACCTTGTGGACAAATTTTGCTAAATATCAGTGAGTTTGACATTTGTGTGTGGTCGGTTTATTTATATATATTTTTTTAAAAGAAATCCGACGCCGGAACCAGTGGAACTGTTGCAAAATATTACATGGACTCCAGTTTCTACAGACACTGGAGACTTCTTTTATCTTAATATTGATGCAGATCTTGAGGTTGCCAATCATCCGAAAGGTGAAGCGTATTTGAAGTGGTTGGAATTGTATGACAGTATAGACTATGATGACTTTGACACTTTTTAAGAAATTGAAACTGGAATTTGTTTATTACTAAATAAAAATACTAATTATAAGGATTATACTCTTATATTAGCATATACTGAAAGCAACACCTATGCGATGAAGGCTTATTACGAGAGCAACTTAAACATATATTTGGTTGAAAATCATGCAGCCTTCCAGACTTAGAAACTTTAACAGGTTTCATCAATCTTTAATTCTGGAAATCGCTCTGACATATCGATTTATCGTTCCATCACCATTGGGACAAGTGTTCAAAAGTTGTTGAGTATGTTGGTTTCAATTCATATCCTTATATTCATGTTTAGGATGTACCACAGGGGTCAGCTTTGGGTACCCTCCTTTCAGTGTTTACTTATGATTACGCTTTTCTGGAAATAAAACTAGCTTGCCTGTTTTGGGTCCTCATTTTGATAACAAATTAAGTTTTATTGGTGTTATTCATTTTACTAATCTCTGGTTTATGCGATTAGTTATTAGAGAAATTATGGATATCATGGTCCGAAAACCTTTTACCTTAGTTTGGGAAGATCCCCATTTACACGATATAGAAAGAGCTTCCGAAGCGTCAGCTAAGAAAGTGTTGTAATAAGGTCCATGTTTTCTGGACTTTTCATAATCATAACTCCTAGAGTATGAAACAATAAGTCTCCCGTTTCCGTCTGTCTGTCGTCTGCCATCTGTCCGCCATCTGTGTCGATTTTATCAGACAAATAATTTTCGAAACTGCTGTTTGACTACAGGCAAATTCTGTCTAAATATTTTTATACTAAATTTCTAAAACCGAAACAGTTAATATTTGACTTTTAATTCTCAATGAAAATCAGCAAAAATATAAAACTTAATTTAATCTCCCAAACTACTGGACCGAGTGTTGTCAAATTTTGTATGTACGTTAAGACGAAGTGAAATATGTAATCACAATCCAAGGTACTGTTCTTGCTTCAAGCAACTGCCAATTAACCAACTCAACTGCAAATTCTTGTAACTGTATGTACTATAGGTCCCAGGTGAAATCAAATTAATAAATATGTTGTAATTTCTTTATTTTACTTTACAGGTTTCATAAATGTAATCATTGTTCAGTAAGTGTCAAAGTCATCATAACCTAAACTATCATATAGTTCTATCCACTTGGCATAAGCTTCACCTTTTGGGTGATTTTTAACCTTGAAGTTTTCGCCAATGTCTAGGTAGAAAAAGTCGCCGTTAGTTGTCGACACCGGAGTCCACGTAACATTTTGAAGTAAATCCACAGGCTCTGGGGTCGGATTTCTGTTTTAAAATACGAAATTTCATTAACGCAACCTTCCATCCCTATGAACTACTCACTGATACTTTGCAAAGTTAGTAAAGAGCGTAATCAGTCTCTGCCTTTCTAGAAGATCTTCTTCCAGGTAACTGGGATCATTGCAACTAGTGCCAGAGCAAAACAAATAATCTACTTCTGCTCCATGTCCGACGCTTCCAGTGCCATTGTAGTGAGGAAATTGCATCCCAAAACTTCCTTCATACGAAAATTGATAAAAATATGTCGTGGCAAACTCTGAGTAAAGTTCAGCATGTTTTCCCATAGATCTCGTAAGAAAAGTGTCACTAGAAAGCTGAAAATTGTGGATCAGGAAATGTTTTATGTATTAGTGAAAATGTACTCGTATGGCGTCTCCTAAATTTTCACTGAATGGTTCACCGCCTGTGTATATATCTCTGATTAAACTACCCATATGGGTGCGATTATCAATGTCTGTAATTTCCATGTCGGCAGGTACCAGATAGTCTAAGTTTTCATCAAGGGTCTCTGCAAGACTTCTGAGTGATTCTTCGTCTACAAACGCCCAAATTTTTCATAGGTAGCTGTATATTTTAAAAACAAAATGTGTACAAACCCATTCCCATGGCAATTTTTTCTTCTGAATTATAACCCATGAAGATCGGTACCGGTACCACACTACCAGCTTCAAGAAGGCCAAACATTTTTCTGGTTATGTACGCATCTGGATTTTTAGGTTCTATTACAGGAGCGAATATACTTCCTACCTCCAAGAAACCATCCCAGGGATTCGTTATCTGTATATTAGTAGGTATTTAAAACTGAAAATCAAAGTGGAGACATTGTCTTACGGAAGTAGAATATTGAGATGCCGCCTGATTCAATTCTTCAGGATCAAGACTCAAAAAAAGTTCTAATAGTGCCTGGGAGTCTTGGTTTGTTTCGAAAGTCGAATTTAAGACAGCTGCAGTACCAAAAGCGATTTGTCTGGAGTTCCTTTGAAACATACCAGTACACAAGAACGTTCCGCTGGATAAAATTACTCCTTGAAATAAACCTGGAAAATTTAAAATGACGTTCATATATTATTGAAAAAAGTCATTCTTGAACCTAAGGAGTTTTGGTTAAGTGTGTGATGAGCACACGAAGATGCACCGGCACTTCCACCAAAAATGGTAACTTTATTAGGATCTCCTCCGAAAAGATGGATATTTTGGTTAACCCATTTTATGGCTTGTAACTGATCTTTCAAACCGTTATTTCCGGGTATAACTTCGTCTTGCGTAGACAGAAAACCTGAAATTTGTGTTAATTTTTTTAGTGTATTATAGTGTAGGGGTATAGGAGTACCGAAAATTCCCACTCTGTAGTTAAAACTAACTAAAATCACATCTTTATCAACAAAAAGGTCTGGAGTAGTAACACTGGAACCCATAATAAAGCCACCACCGTAGATGTGGACCATCACGGGCAACAAATTTTCAGTTTCGTTGTTGGGAAGCTTAAAATTCTAAATTTAATTTTGAAATAATTGCGCCTGACGTATTATACCTTTGGTGTGTACACATTCAAAAAAAGGCAGTCTTCAGATTCTTCTAACATGGGAGGCAGAAATACTTGATCACCAAGCTGGTAGCATGATACATCTAGATAAGTTGTATTTAGAGTACCATCCCAATCTTCAACTGGTTGTGGTGCCTGAAATTTATATCGACAGATTACTAGAAATATGAGAAAAAAAATGTCTACTTTGAATCGAAGGTTTCCAACTGGAGGAGCCGCATATGGAACTTTTTCAAATGCGTAGTATGCAGTGTCTTCAGCTGTGACATCTTGTCGACCAACTATTAGTCCATTAGGTAGTTTGATTACAGGATCTTCGGAGTTCTAAAATAACATTTTGATTACTTTTGGGTCTAATTAGAATATTATTTCTTGTTTACATTCTGTTCAACAAAAATAGAAACTATAAGAAAAATTATTATCATTATTATCTGAAGCTTCATGTTGTACGAAAACATACAGGTTATGAATACACTCTCGACACACTTAAGTATATATGTTGAAATTTCAAGTGGTTTAATCCATATTGAAAAAGTAATTGTTAGTCACGAATCTTCATTTCCGAAGTGAAAAATTCGTGCTGCGCATTTATTAGTAAAGACAACGAATACCTATTTAAAAAATGCACCGTAATGCAGAAAGATTATCACCAGTTAATTGTATTTGGCTACCTAAAAAAAATTCCCGCTAATTTATGTTACAATTGATAAAAGACAAAAGATATTTGTTTAATTTTAAATGAATTATCTATTTTGGTTTTGCTTAATTTTAGTAATAATGCATAGCAATAAAAAAAATCCAGTATGGTTTATTTCATCCGCTTATTGAATGCTTTAATTATATCTACTACGGTGTTTTCTCAAGTGCTTTGCACTGATCCATTGGAAAAGTTTGATCACCTTTTAATTAATCATTTATTATTGTTTTGCTTGATAAGTACAATTCCAAAAAAAGTTGTAAATCTTTTTTATTGTCATGTAGTGAAGTACGAGTTTTATCAAGCAAAGTATGCTGCAGCACGTCTTAGATATGAAATTATTGTTATTTCGTCTCACAATTGATTTAATAAATCTTGTAGATCAATATCAAATTCGCATGAGTCGTCATCGTGTCCCCTAAAAGCTACGATTAAAATCACTGAAATAAAAAAATATATATTTTTATAGAAACCCATAAGTACGTTCATACGGTATGTTAAAATTAGTATGTTAAAATTATTACATTAAAAAACATATTTTATGAGTACTTTTACTGTTATAGAAATTATATTATAGAACTTTTCTATGATAGTTAAAAAGTTAAAATTAATTTAAAATAAAATAACGGATGGAGGGACCGACCGACAGCTAGACAGACAGGCAAACAGACAGACAGACAAACGGACAGATGGATAAACAGACAATCAGACAGATAGACAGACATACGGATAGACAGACGGACAGACAGACAGGCAGATGGTTAGACGGACAGACAGACAGACAGAGGGACAGACAGATAAACAGACAGACAGACGAATAAACGGACAGATAGACAGACAGGTAGACAGACAGACGGACAGATGGACAGACAGACAGATAGACGGATAGACGGACAGGCAAACAGGCCTACAGACGGACAGATCGACAAACAGACGTATAGACAGACAATCAGACAGATAGACAGACTACAGACAGACGGAAACAGAAGGCTTATTGTTTCGAACTCTTGGTCTAAGCTACAGGAAAGTAATATTGAAAGAAAGTCAGTTTTAACTGTCAAAATTCTCGACACCAAAACTTCAACGATAAGAACTTTTACAGTGGTCGGTGATGATGAAATGGACTTGGTAGCAATTAAAAAAATATATACAAGCAGCGTTGACGAATGAAAATCTGCAGCAGCTAAAAGAATTTATTTAAGAAGAGTCGCTACTCTTTCACTACATAACTGCTAGGGCAATTTTTTAATTTATTATCACATATTTTTTAAATTTTGTTGAAATTTTTGCATCACGTGTTTTAAAAAAATCAATATTTCAGTTATTTATGTAAATTTTGGAACGGGGTTGTCACCACTGTTGTCAGCTTATAAAACTTTAGGAATCATAGTAGGTCTATTTTTGCCTTTATTTGTTAAGACTCAGATATAGTAAAAATAAAAGTTTGCAACTTCTATGACACAACTTTTTTTTTACTGTGTATCCTTTCTAACACAAAAAAATCGACGATATATCTGGTATGATTTCTGGAATTTTGTAGACTGAAAATGGTGTTAAAAACAGTGTTTTAAAATTTCTTTTAAAAATTGAGATATTGATTTTTAAAAATACGGTATGTAAAAATTTCACTAAAATTAAAAGAAAAATATGATCACAAACTGTTTTTAATAAAATTGCCCCTGCGTTATATAAAGAAAGCAATGGACAACATATATTTAAAATTTCAAAACCATAGGTCTGTTAATAACGGAGATATTACATTCTGAAAATAGACCGAAAATTCCACTCAAAAAACGTAGCGAAAACGGCCAAATGTCACAATTAAATCATTGGTTTAAACACATTTGGTGGTTTACCCCAAATAATTGCTACTTGTATAAATTTAGATAATCGTAATGTATCTACCGGCCAGTGCTTTCGCAGGATTTCAACGACAATATTGGCTAACACCGAGGTGGGTTTTCTAAATGATGACTGGTCATCAACAGTGGCTGGAAGCTATGTCGACTCCATTGGCATCAAGAAATAACGACACAGTTTCGATTTATATTTGTAATACCGTGGTTAGATTTGAAAAAAATTATGATTTTTTACGAAAAGGGGGGTTTTTTTCGTACTCAATGAGTAATGAAATGTCGAGAAAACTTGAAAGTAGCCAGTCGTCCAGTGGACCCTAGTGCAATACTTATCTTACGCTCGGGAAGTAAAAACATGCAGTCCCTTGTAGAAGAAGTCTGTCGTGTGTTAAAAGAGTGTAGTGAAAGTCTTTTAAAATAGAAACAATTAGGCAACTAACCATACAAATCAATATAATGATGATTACTCTCAATGTTTTGTTCTGAACGTATGCAATAAACGCAAGAGAGACACACTAAATACGGTCAAAATGAAAATAAGGTGAGATTGGTACACACGTCGCTGTGAGATAACGCATAAGTATGCTCGTAGTTTCGAATCCAGGATGAAATTAATGTAACTGAAAATAGTACGGCACCAAATACTGGCCAATAAGAGGGCAGAATTCATTACTATACCATAGAAATACAAAATCTTCCTGAAAATTTTGTTCCCTTACTAACTAACCGAGACAATAATGGGAAATTTTTTCAACCTATTATGCATTTTTTTATTGTGCATCATAAGTACAGAAATATTATTTATTAACATGAAACACATAATTATTATAACTTAAAATTTGTTGCTAAGAATATTTTTATTACATCTTAATACATTAACTTGAATGAAATTGTCTAAATCGAGATAGTGTAAATGTGTTCTCTGCCGTATGCGATTTTCTTACCGAATCTGCCCTCGTGCAATGATTGATTTTCTGAATTTTTTTCTCAAGCATTCGAAAAAATGGACGAATACTTACATTTAATTCTAAATACTATCAACGTACTATTTCTTCTCAAATGAGAAGTTATGAAAAGTAAATAATAACTTAAGGAAGACTATCCAGCACAAAATAGTTAAAACCGAATAAGTGAGTTTCTATAACGCGTTTAGAATTAACATTTAGAATACAACAATTATTTAAATAGCAAAGTAACTGTTGTAGATTTTCCCAAAATCAGTGTATAAGTTTTTCTGGTTTATACGATTAACCCTAAACTCGAATTTATTGTTATTAACAAGTTATTCTCTGTTATATAAATTTTGTTTCAGGCAGATTTTACAAGCTATTGAGATTATAAAACAGATAATAATTAAGTGGCAGTTCGCGGTATTTTTCATATACCTGATGAACTCTAAATATAAAAGTAATTATTTCTAAAGTACCTTTTATTTATCCACTGGAAATGCTTTATCTCCAGTTGTTGATTCACAGCATGATGCAAATATTTTTTTATTGTTTGTTCGATGAGTAATATTTTACAAACGTAGTATTTTTTTTTGGTTATAATCGAGCGAAGGACGAATTTTATCAAGATGTAGTCCAAATTAAATATCTACGACGGCACGTCGCCAGATATGCAGTTATCAATGTCTAAATTAGTTAATAAATTTTCCAAGACAGTATCTACTGATGCAAGTTTCTTTTGAAGAGACGCTGATTTGAAATTAGATATCGGAAAGAAATTTTGTAGCCATTAGTTAACATGATACTTAAGTACCTAATGAGTCACTGCGTCAAATTTTATCACCTATTATATAAACTAGCTTTGGAGTTTTTCAACAAGTTATTGTAAAACAGATTATGTAGCTTTTTATCGGATTGTTGTACATCTGCAGTCACTATATTTTTCAGCTAACTCCAAAATGTACAAACAAATATCTCTTCTAGCGCTTTTAGCGCAAATCACGGTAAATATTAACCCCAGAATTAGCTACATCAACTAACAAAAATTTTTTATAGAGCCAAGAACCAATAGTACAACTCCCTAACGGCCAAATTCTGGGACGTGAAGATATTACATCCGAAGGTGTGCAGTATTACGCTTTCGAAAAAATTCCGTTTGCAGCTCCTCCAGTTGGAGACTTGCGATTTAAAGTAAGCAAAATTTCCATTTATATTTTAACTTCACTGACAATTTAGTCACCTCAACCACCTGAAAACTGGGACGGTGTTCTCAATACAACTACTCTTGACGTGATGTGCATTCAAATTGGTGGTTCTGGGCCTGTTCCGGGAGTATCAGCATCCGAAGACTGTCTTTACCTAAACGTATTTTTGCCAACAGTAATTTCTCAGTCATTTTTTTTTCGTAAATTATTATTAGAGTTGATTTAAGATTTCTCTCAATAGTAGCGAACCTCTAGCGGTGATGGCATATATCTTTGGTGGTGCCTACAGGGTGGGAACTGCTGCTGAATATAAAGCAGACCTTTTTATGAACCATGGAGTGATTTTAGTTGCCATGAATTACCGAGTAGGACCTTTTGGTGCGTATTAACTCAAACCTGAACCGAATTATAATGATCATTTAGGTTTTATATCAACGCAAGACGAAGTAATTCCTGGAAATAACGGTCTGAAAGATCAACTGCTAGCCCTTCAATGGATTAACAACAATATAGCACTGTTTGGAGGTGACCCAAACAAAGTGACTATTTTCGGACAAAGTGCCGGTGGAGGTTCTTGTGCTTATCATTTACTAAATCAAAATTCGTTAGGTTGAGTTATCACCGACGAAAACAAAATGACCACTAAAGTATCAATTTTAGGTTTATTCCAGGGTGCTATTTTGGAAAGTGGTACCTTTTTGAGTCCAGGAATGTACCAACGAGATTCTAGAAATATAGCATTTGGTGTTGGTGCGGCAATAGACCCTAGTTTTGAAACCAATCAGGATTCAGAAGCGCTACTTCAATTGTTGCTAAATTCAACTGCTGATGAAATAAAAGCAGCTGTTGAACAATATAGCAATAAGGTAATTTCGTTGTAAATAAATTGATACAATTTATATTGTTATATATTTAGGTAAGCCAACCATGGGAAGGATTCGTGGATCAAGGCAGCATGTGGGCTCCTGTTATTGAAGTTAAGAATCCAGACGCTATTGTCACAAGAAAAATGTATGGACTGCTTTCTGCTGGAAACATTTTGCCTATACCTACAATGATGGGGTTCACCTCTGAGGAAAGTCTTCTCGGAAAAGACGGTACCAGAAAGTTGTGATTGTCGTCTCAGTAAGTTTTAATTTGTTTTGCATAGATCCAGAGATGGTGAAAAGTGTTGCCATAAGCATAGATGCAGATTTAAGTGTAATAGTGCCCAACGACATGGAAATCATGGATAATGAGGAACGTGGTCAAGAAGGAACTTTGATAAGGGAAATTTACACGGATGGTGAACCCTTTGAGGACCATTTAGGTGCACTGATAAGAGTACGTTTTCAATTTTGTATACTAGAATCACAATGTATTAAATATGTTTGATAGTATTCCAGTGACAATACTCTTACGAGAGCTATGATCAAGCATGCAGAACTATTTTCAAGTATCGCACCAACATTTTTTTATCAGTTTTCGTACGATGGAATAATAGGCGGGATTGATGCACACTATGATGGTGCTGACAATGTAGGACATACTGAGGAACTGAAGTATTTGTTTTGTGGTGGGTCAGACTGTACCGATACGACAAAATATCCTGAAGATGATCTATTAACAAGAGAAAGATTGATCACGATCTGGACCAATTTTGCAAAATATCAGTACGTATACCATACATAAATTGCGACTTTATTTTTTAATTCAACTAAAAATTCTAGAAACCCCACTCCAGAACCACAATCCATACTGCAAAATGTCACTTGGCCGCAACTCAAAACAGATGAAGGCGACTTTTTTTACTTGGACATTAATAGCGATCTGGAAGTTCAAAACCATCCAAAACAAAAGTATTACGAAGGTTGGGCAACACTTTACGGAGCTTTAGATTACACCGATTTTGACACTTTTTGATTATGGTTCAGATGTTGATTAAAGATTCATTTGTAGTTTTGTGTATATTAATTTTTAAATTGTAGCATTACAATGATGAAAGTAATAATGTTGCTCGAAATACGAAATATGGTCCCCCTGTCAATACAAAAAAACCTAGCAATACAGAATTCTGGAACGTTGCTTTTGATAACGAAAACCAGCTTGTCAATTTCTGGGTTGTCTTTAAAAAATTCTTCTTCCAGTTTGATGGCCATTCTAACGCTTTTGGTTGCTTCCTTCAAAACCATGTCACACATCAGTGTCAAAATTATAATGCAAATCTAAAACAAAACTGTTAGAGTGTAATCAATTTTGACACAGTTTGTCGATATTACAAAAAATAAAGCAGCAAACGACACGCTTGTAACTACAAATTTGGCTTCATCAACTGTCGTCAAAGCATAATCTAGGTAGCCGATCGTAAGCAAACTGATGTGTAAAATACTCAAAAAAATAGACCAACTAAAAATATCATTGAAGGTGTCTATCGTGTTTTGTAGAGTGCTCCAAATGTACTGAACATTGGAAAACGTGGAAAACTTTTCAATAACCGTGGAAGTGGTGTTCTTGAACTGCCAAATTTTTAACGCAAATTCATGACGTAAAGTTTTATAGTACACCACAAACATCCTCAAAAGGATAAATAAAAGTAAGTAGAAAAATAATAAGGAATGGTACTGTACATTATCGATGACATATTTTTGTACATAGTCTTTGTCATGCTGTTGACACCAGAGATACATATCCGAAATTGTAATTATCCAGTAGAGAACAACTGTAACAAGAAAAATTGCACGACATGTTACAGAATTAGTCGCATTTATGGTTAAATTTTTTTCGATCTGTACACAGTTTTTTATCATTTGTTTCCATTGTTTGCGTTTACAAAATGGAACTGCCACTAACAAAAGTATATTACAAAAGTATAAAGAAAAATCTGTGCAAACGAACACTATAAATTTAATGGGTAAGTACTGGGCGTACTCGTAAGTTTTGTAAAACAGTGAAACAGCGACTGCAGATGTGAAGAAGACTATCAGTAACAGGGAGTAAATTTTTGATACTGAAGGCTCAAAATTAAACTGCTGAAGAGATGGCGTTATACCTAGAAATTTACCAAAAAAACAAACATGTCTAAGTAGGCGTAACATATTGTGCTAAACTGGTTCGTTTATTGTGGGATATTACTATTGATCGTGGTTTTAACAAGAGGAAATTATTTAATGATAAATAAATGAGCTTAATACATATTTACCACAAAAACCAATAATGGACAAAAAGCATATTTAAGCAGATATTTGTCAAGATACGAACCTTTAAGTACACGTGCATGAATAATTTTGATTTATTATTGTGTTTTTTCAGTGCGTGTTGATGTAAGTCGAAAGGTCAATGAAACGGCATTCGAATGCACAGTAAGTTTCCCACATATTTTACTGCTGCCACTCCGACTCGTCCGACACTACAAACTTTGAAAAAATAATCTTAAAATTGAAAAAATGTGTCGGCAAAATTTTTTCATTCTTTAATTCTAAAATACCGTGTCTGCATTAATTATTTAGATCAAAGAATGCTGTGCGATTTTGATGTATGTTTCTCGGTTTCGGATACTTTTCGGAATATGTAATTAAACAAACACATGTGTAATATTGGTTGCATACTGACATAAATCTATTTACAAACGAAGGTTAGCTGTTGCTTGTTATAAACAAGAAAATCTAGTGAAAGGCAATAACTTCTGAAGATTTGGGAATAAAACTGTTGGAAATGGTATCCGTTCTCCTGCATACATAAATTGACAGCAGTTTTCATGTTATCAAACACATTTTGTAGTGTAGAAGGAGTAATGCGACTACACTCTTCGGTAATTCTGTCTTTCAGGTCTTCTATGGTGTGAATGGGATTTTTAAAAGTAGTGCTTTTTTAGATGACCGAACAAGAAGTAATCCAGAGGGGTTAAGTCTGGTTACCCTGGGTGGTACTCAGGACTTAATTGTAAACATCACTCTATCATCAAAGAATTCACGTAAAAAATTCAAATTGTTTACTGTTGTATGTTCCTTGGCACCGTCAGGTTGAAAAAAATCGTCTTGGAGTTCATCATCCTGTAACTCCTGAACAAAAGCAGTTAGGATATTGTTGCGATATCTTTGTGTTGTTAGAGTTTCGTCAAAGGAAGGTCCGATGATACGTCTGCGAGACATTGCGCACCATGTACCAATTTTAACAAGATGGAGTCGTGTTTCACCAAAGACATGTGGATTTTCAGCACTCCAACATCTCATATTTTGAGAGTTAACATAACCTAGAAAACAAAATCTCATAATTGTGATTTAAACTGATACAAACTCAGTACCGAAGAGATGAAATCAAGAAAAGAATGTTAAATCCAGCAAGTTATCATTGAAATGTACAAAAAACCATCTGCAATACGTCTACTAAAATCAGCCAGCAGAAGTTCGTGATCGGCATGAAGTTTGTACGGGAAAAGGTGGAGTTTTTTCACAATTTTATTGCATGTGCCCACGAAAATTCCAACTTCTTGCAACATATGCTTCAGTAAAGTTGATGGAATATTTTTCATGCGTTCTTCAACATCTTCAATGACTTCATTGGTACACAGTGTTGATCGTCTAGCACCTTTATTGTGGTGGACACTACCTGTTTTACGAAATACTTGCATAGTGTTTCTAACAACGTTGTAAAACTCAGCAACGATTAAGTGTTGGACATTTTTGTTAGAATTCTTGTAAAACAGCACCACTGTTATAATCCCATTGACCCTCAATGGCAACTTAATTTTGGAAGTAGCACTCAAGCATGAATATTTTATGTTCCACAGAGAAAGCCATTGCTACCAAATTCCGGGTGGGACGGACGGACGGTCCAGAATCATGCCAATAACGTGTGGTGGCGGCGTACCTGGGTGCCAAGCCTTGGGCCGACTAGTGTCGCTAATATAAACAAACACGTCTGGCCAACCTAAGCTTATGCGGCGACCGTCACGCCGCCGGGGGTGGCGCCTTCGGTCAAGAGCGGCGGTCGCTCAGACGCCAGCTCTCTCCGGGGGAGGGAGCGCCGGGATTGCTTTCAAGCCAGAGACACTGATCTCAAGTGGAGAGCGTTCGTGAAAACTAGATAATAAAATAAAACGGCCAGGAATATTTTGCACAATAAATAGGGTTTATTCCTTGCCATCAGCTACACGGCTAAAATAATAAGTCTTACGGCTAAACAACTTAAAGAATTACAGATCGGTTTTACAAACACAAACAACCGAAAAGAATTAAACGTCCGACACGGTCGTTCTCCTGGTTGGCGACTTTCCTCAGAACGAGCTCCTCCTGGATTTGGGAACGGCGACCTTGAACGGTGGCGGTACAACCGTTAGGCAAACGGGCAGACGACCCAAAAGAGTACTTACGCTGGTCAGAAGATTGAACTGCCCACTATCCAAAAACTGAACACAGCCACAGCACTTCTTCTCTTGCGAAGACTTCAGGCCAGAATCCTCTTCCGCCGCGATGGCGCGGCGATCGCGAATTTAACCCCGGCTCTCGCGGTACGCATCACGATTTCCGACGCGCGAAAATTCGCACTTTTATTTTCAAAAAATTGGAAATTTTGACGTGTCTGTCAAATGCCAACAAGGCTGAATATATCAAAGACAATTACAATATGTCAATTTAACATCCACAGCCTCTATTGGTCTAAATAATTAATAAACTCACGCGCTGTATTTAATTGTCAAATTGTGAGATTATATTGTGGTGACCGAATTTAAATTAAAATTTAGCGCTGAAAAAAATTTAACAGCGGGGCGAAATCGCATTTGAATAATTTGAATCAATTTGAAAAAATTTAATCAAGAAAATCGTTATACATAGGCCACCATGTTTAATTCGTTTTTTGGTAGTTGGTAGTTCTGCTTGAAATTTTTAGTTAGAGGGTTGGTAGAAAGTGGCTGCTTGGTAGAGAGGTGAGAACTGTGTGTTGGGAGGTGTGAGCGAAACCATGTGGTGGGTTAGCTAGGTGAAGTTGAGTTGGTTTGGTTGTTAATTAAAGGGAGGAAGCCTCTGTTTAACGACAATTAAACGTAACGACGACGACGCCACGCGTAGCTAATCCTTACGGCTTTTCTAATCGGAAACATGCGAATTTTCGACCGTGACTAACACGTCTTGTAAATTTGTTATATTGTTTGTAAATTCGCAGTTCATGTTAGGAGTTTAATCGTTAACTAGTTCAAACACAATTTTACAATCAGGGATTTGTTTAGATATGCACTTGTAGGAGTTTTCATGAAATTCACTTAGGTTTCTGGATGCTTATACTTAAGTGTTACATAATAACGCTTCTTAATTTTTCACACAAGATTGCTAATAGTTCATTTACGGCAGTTAAATCAATCTAACGTTGCCCCACTCTAGGAAAAGACCGTGAAAGTACGGTAGAATTCATAATATCGTTGACTGAAGTGCGGGAAATTATAAATTTTTCGTTATCATCATCACATCACCGAGACATTTTTTTTTCTCGCAACGTTGAAAATTATATCACTGAGATCTAATTCTCGCAATTTTGGATACATTTTGTGCTTATTTATCATGTGTTAACCAGTCACTTGGATCAAGGCATCAATTAACGCAATGTAAATTATTTGTTTGAATCGTTGATAAAGTGTGGCATAATTTAACAACAGGTAAATTCTTTGTTCGGGCAGTGGCCATGTTGAAAGAGTATTTTCAAACCGAGCACAGGTTTGAACTGTAAAATCTTAGGTCATGTGGGATGTGCATTTTATTCCTTTGATTTAGACTATTATTTGCACAACACCATAGGATGAATCACAGTTGTGGGAGACAAATTTTTGACGCATATTTTTTTGGAACGACGTATTCGTCCGTCGCCATTTTGAATTGCCATATTGCCTGCTATGTTTTTTTTTTGGGTTTGTTTAGGGGAATGTAAACGATGGTCCATAATGCAGAGGAATAACTTCACTTTTAAAATT